AGTGAAAAGCACCATCATGCTCAGTCTAGGGGTACATCTACACTGCAACATAAGCCCAGGGCTGGTGGAACGTGAGTCAGCAGACCCTGGGTTAGAGAACCTAGGGTTTGAGCGCCTACACTGATTGTCAGTCCTACGTTAGGAATTTTCTAACCTGGTCCCAAAACCGGGGTTCCAGCATCTACACTGCAGTACGCAGAGCTGAGTGCAATCAACCATATCCCAGCTCTCCTAGTGCCCTCCCGCCATGTGACTGCTCTACCTCTTTGTTGTGCAGTTTGGGGAAAACCTGATTGTCCACTAAACTTGACTGTCCAAAGGACCAAGAAAGCCAGCCCATGGGAATGTGGGATACTTTTGGCTGACTCCCAGAGCCTGGGTCCAGTGGGGCTGCATCTACACTGCAAAGCAATAGGGCTTGAACCCTAGGTCCCAGACTCCCAGTTTGACTCGGGCTTGGACCCTTCACCCTTGTGGGGTCCTGGGACCCTGGGTTAGAATGATTTGGGTAAAGATGGAAGGGAGGTTAGGCTTCAGCCTAAGTTCGAACCTTGGGCTTATGCTGAAGTGTAAGTGCACCTAAGTGTTTTTGTGTGTGGACGTGACCTGACTTATAACCAGGGATCCTAGTTTTCTGATAAAAAAACCAAAATCCTCTGATTAAAAAAAACATAAAAATGCACTTTTTTTTTTGCTATTTAAAGGAAACAGTGAACTTTAGTTTCCCTAGCCACAATAGATATAGGTGTCAGTTGAACACGTTTTATTGATATATTTACAATTTTTAAGCTGACAGCCTGAGCACCGCCGCCTGGGGCTGACATCCCAAGCCCTGCCCATTCCCCTGATTATCTGAATTTTTGATTATCCAAGCTGGCCCCAGTGCTAATTAGATTGGATAATCGGGGTTCAACTGTATTTGGTTTTATTTTCCTCACAAAATGTCAAAACTAAAGATTCTCTCTAAGAACACAAATTCTGCATTTTTCCGTGGCAAATGGATTTCTAGGATCCCTGGTTACAACTCATGTTAACTTTGTAGTGAAGGCAAATCCTTAGTGTAGACAAGAGCTTAACATGCAGTTATGCTCTGAAAAGGGAATTCACAAATGACATGATAAAATTCTGTTTACGGTCTCAGTTATTTCTGATCAAACTGGACTGGCTTGGTTTGAATATTTCTTTTCTAACCATCAGCTATGCAGACTCACCAGGGATCTGAGGGTCAAGCTGCGTTCTTTCTGGCTCATTCCTCACCATCAATAGAGTCTGCATGCCAAATTTTCCCCTCAGTTACACCTGTGCTGTCAGATTGTCTTCAAAGGAAGTGCAAAGTTGTAATTTGACAGCATTTAGCTCTGTACTGGGAACTTCATTAATGACGATACGTATGATACCTGAGCCATCTGGTTTTATTAGCTCTGCAGTGCTAACAGGTGTAAAATGTAGCAAAAACTGATTCTCAATATACAGGGAGTAAATCTGCTGAGCGAGGTGCTATTTTCACAGTTATTTTTCTAACCATAGCCACATTTAAAAGCACGTTTACAGACAAAGACTAAAGCTTATTTGTCTATTGGCCAGCCCTACAAACTCAATCTGGGATCTCAGAATCAAGCTAAATTCTCTCTTTCTTACATCACCATACATCTATCTCTCACTATTTTGGCTCTACATGATTAACAGGATTGAAAAATTGCTTAGGGCAGTAAAAATATTTTTAATTAAATGACCAACACACACGAGAGGAACTGTGGATGTGATCTGTCCCATAACAATGTTTTAGGAGTCTTGTACAGAGCTTTTAGCAAATCTGACTTGAACACACACACAGAGGAACTTTTTTAAAGCTCCAACTAAAGTTCTTTTTGTTTGGAGTTAAAGGTCCTTCTACAATGTTTACAAACCAAGCATCCCATCATTGTGTGAATACATGAGAACCTCAAAGTGAAACTACCTATTTTCATTGCCCAGGCTGAACAGAACTAAAAAAGTAAAAGTGTATAAATTGGTAAAAAAATACAATAGGTTTTTACTCTCCTTCCATTTTTAACAATCAGAGAAGTGAAAGAGTTAAGGGCATTTTAAGTAATATTACTTTTAACTTGACATGGTCCCCTTAACTTTAGGTAGATTTATAAATGTTTGGTTTTAGGATGCAGCCATTTATAGCATAGAACACAGATGATGCAGCGGTGTCAGTGAAAGCACAGGTGGAATGATTGTGCTGTGCAATTTAAGAGAGTAGTAAGATTGATAGAGAGAGTGAAATGAATTGATTACTTTAATATCTAAGTGCAGCAATGGGTGTTTCTATGTATAATTTACCACAATAAAGTGATGCATGAGTCAGGACTAAAAATACACTGATTAGGCTACCTGGACTATAAAGTACATATTCCTTTCTTTAAACAGTAGGGCAGTATAATCAGGAAGATGATTCTGTTCAACTGGAACTTTTTATTCAATGTATCCATGCCCTGTTTGTCTTCAAGGCAGATCTGCTGACTTTACAGATACAGAAAAGTTTCTGCTGTTATCCTTGAAGAGCCAATATAGACACAGCAGAGCGAGCTGGAGTCTCTTAGAACAAAGTTGTCAGCAAACTTCTGATCCTAGAATCTTTATTACTTATGGTGACAGTAGGAGGCAGAGAGAACACTGCTAGATTTTTTCAACTCTCAACTTGAATTTGCGGTGCCAGCAGCTAGGAAAAAAATCAAACATTTGACTTGTAAACTGAGACCATTTGAGCAGGAATTGGTGAGCAAGAATAAATACAAAACCCAACAAGGGTTTCTAAGCAAAACTTTATGCGGGGAAATGGAGGTTAGAAGAATCTACTCAGAAATGCTGCACATTGATCTGTTACAAAGCAAGAAATCAAGTTTTGTAGCCAGACAAGTAACATATTTGGAAAGTCATTCTGGATAGCTGAGTATGCAAGTATACTGATGATATGTGTACGTGGTTTAAATGTCTTGATCAAATGATTTTTGGACATTACAATAAACATTAGAAATGCCTAAGATGGATAAATACCAATAATCTTAAAAAGAAAATCATCAGTTATTTTAATTTATTGCAAATAAAGCTTACAGTCATTTGAAACCATGAGTGTGAAGGGCTGCATTAGTGTTTCAAGTATCTGATCACAGATCCATTTTCATTAATAACAGAAGAACAGACTCAAAGCAAAAGTGTACATTTATTTTATAATCATATTTGCAATAGGCAAGGAGGGTAGGTAAGGAGGAGGATTCAGTCAGAGAGAAGGGAGAAATGACTAAGAGGGGGGAACCAGGAAGGTAGGGAAGGGTGTGTCTGGGTAAGCAATAAGATGTTAAGCAAGTAGTACTATGCTACTTTTGAGAAAATCAATCTCATTTTTGGGCAGGATATCCTATGCATATATGCACATTGCTGTACTCTGGTCCTTACTCATCCCATCCCCTCCCTTGTTTGCTACTGTCCCATCAAAAATTAGGCCCCAAACCCACAAACATTTACATGTGGCTAACGTTACACATTAGTAGTGCCACTGAAGTCAGCGACTGGGGCCTTAGATAGTAAGCTCTTCGGGGCTGGAAACAGATCTATGCATGCACCTGTACAGCACAATAGTGGCCTGATCCTGCTTGGGGCTTCTTAGTAACTACAAATTCTTTGGGTCAGAGACCGTATCTTCCAAATTGTTCTGTGAAGTATCCAACACACATTTACTTTAACACACAAACATTCATAAATAGCAATACTTAACATTCCCAAGCTAAGATGAGATATGCTGCCAGGCCTGTTACAAAGGCAGGAAGCCTTCCCATGAGGAAACTGGACAGCATTGCTAGCACACACGGGAGAGTACATACAAAACCCCATCCCCCAGTCTGCACTGTTACTATTTTAATATTGACATTATGAGGTGCAAATAATGTCTGTATCACAAACATACTGAAATCCATTTGAGAGGCAAGATACAAGCTAAAGTGACTTCGGCTAGTTCTGAACCCAATGTAGGTTTTATAAAACCTATTAATAGACTGTTTCAGGCATTTAAAAAAATTAGCAAAAAGGTTTTGTTTTGATGTAAACCTTCCTCTGCTGTGTTTATATTACAGACATTGTTAGGCAAGTATACAAATAAATAAGAATTTGGAACGAGATCCAAAACCCTTTAAAGTCTATAGGTGCCTTTTCACTGACTTCCATATGCTTTGGATCAGACCATAAAACATGCTTCTCATCCACAGACCAAGAGCTGCTTCACAAAGGAGAGCCAAATATCAGCCCCATATTGTATAGGGGGGAATTAATGTGCAGAAGGGAAGCAACTCTCACACTAGAGCGGAGAGCAGCAGAACTAGGAACTCAGCCCAGGCTGTTTGACTCTCAGGCCCGGGCCCTTTCTACAGGAACCGGGTGCTGTAAGGGGGGGGGGGGGGTCCTGAGAGTGAAAGGGACTAAAAGAAAGTGAAACTAACCAGCCCACTTTCACTCTCCAAAGGGAGTAACAAACACCAGTGGCGAGAAGTAAACAAGGGGGCACGTTTTCACGCTAACAACCCCACGTACACTGGGTCACACAGGTCAGCAAGCGAGGTGGCTTCCGCCCCCCCCCACACAGTAACAAACCCGACACAACAGCCCTTTGCTACAAGGGAGACAGGAGGGTGGTGCGGGAGCTGGGGAGGACACGAGAGGGATGCGGGTATCAGGTCAGTAGCGGATGCAAGGGCTGGAGGGGGGGGGGGCGGGAGAAGGGCCAGGGACCCGGGACAGAGGCGGGAGGCGGGCCCGGGCGAACGGGGAGTGGGGGGAATGGCCCGGGGGGTGGGGGCAGGGCTGGGCGAACGGGGAGCCCCGAGTGTCTCGCGCGGGGGAGGGGGCCGCAGAGGCCCAGCGCGGAGGAGACGGGGAGACCCGGGGCCGACGGCAGAGAAAGGCCAGGAACCGGGGCCGGAGGAGCGGGACCAGCCCCCAGCGTCTCCCCCTGCTTCACTCACCAGCTCATGGTCCCCTCCGGCCCCGGCTTTCTCCCGGAAGCGCTTGTTCTTTAGCCCCGCCCCTTCCGGAAGTGAGGTAAGCGGCACGCTAGACGGCATGACGTCACGCACCGTCTGGGGGCGGGGCCAGCTGGACGTTAACATGCTGCCTCCCAGACAGCCTGGGCCCCGGCTGAGCCACGCCGTCACACGCTTTGTCGTGATGTCACGATGTGGAGCCGTGCTTTGGTGTTGTGATGTCACTGTCCAGTGTCATGACATCACTGGGCTGGGCTGAGCTGGTGAGAGGTTGCGCCACAGTTTTACAAAGCAAGGCTGGCATGCGGCTGCCCTGCCAGGCTGCAGCGATCACTCCCCGGTTCTGCCATCACCAGCTCTCTGGGACATGCTCCAGCCCAGCACATTGCAATGACCCCCAGCAGCCGTTCCCTGAGCCACTCCAGGGCCTGGCTTTGGGGAACAGCCTAGAACTTCAAACTCAGCTCCCAGCAATAGCTGCAGCTTAGCCCCGGGAGCCCTCCGAGGCAGATAAATCGACACCCATGCAGCTGAATGGCTTTCACAAAGTGGACAGCTTATGGGTCCAGGCCTATTTGCAGTGTGCGCATTCCACAGCGCTCTTCCAAGGAGACAGAATTTGCCCAACTTGCCTCGTCCAAAAATCTACCTCTGTTGTTGCACAGTGGATGTGCTACTGGGGGCTGCATTGCAGCAGTTACGTATGTCTATGGCAGTGGGATAAAGAGGTGTTGCTCCAATGGATGGAAAGACTTGTCTCTCTGCAGACAACTTTGAAGCTAGCTTCTCATTTTAAGCGTGATTTATTTATTATTAGACACAGCCCCTGAGGAAGGTCCAGTACATGCTGGGACAGGTTAGCGACTCTGGCTTAGTCATTTCAGTGTAGGCATCCAGCCAGGTTGGGCGGATTGAGTAAGGCTTCCAGTTCTTCCCTTTAATACTGAGTCTTGATGTAGTCATTCCAGGTTGCCAGAGAGCTGGTACAACACAAAAAAGGTTAACAAGTAACAATGCCAGGATCCACAAGAAAAACAAACTTGAGAGACAGGACCATGGCAAGGAACTGATACGAACAAGATAAATTAAATGTAACGTAAGGTGGAGGCAAGTGACTAAGAAGGAAAATAAATTGCATACTATTTTTAAAAGCCTTTGAGGGAACGATTGTATTATGATTTTTGCAATGTCAGGAAGGGTCCAGTTGCACTCAATAGTCAATGAAATTGATGAAGTACATGGGAACTGAGTAGGGAACCATATGGCTTACCATTTATAATCTTCAAAGCATTTACAAACCTTTAAAAATTGCCCCTCACAAGCTTCCAGGGGTAACTGGTCCCATTTTACAGATACAGAAACTGAAGCAAAAAGAGTAAGACCAAAACATTTAGATGTGCTGGATTGTGCCCTCTGATTTTGGATGCCTTTTGAGTGGCTGATTAGAATTACTTAGGCCCACATCCTCAGAAATATTTAGGCACTTAACTCTCATTGATATCAATGGAAATTAGGCGTCTAAATATTTTTCAGGACCTATGCCATCAGGCACGATTTTCAGAGGCACTGAGCTACCACAGCTCCAGCTGACGTCTATGGGAGCTGTAAGTTTTCAGGTCCTCTGAAAGTCAGGCTCCAGGTGGCTCAGATCAGGCATCAAAAAAAGGAAGCACCCATATATAACAGATTAGTTGGAAAATTTTAATCAAAGTGACTTAAAGTGATTCCTGTGAGGGGGTCCCAGAACCCAAGCCCCAAAGTAGCCCCAAGCCTACACAGTAATTTTTATCCCTGCAGCCTGAGCCCGAGTCAACTGATCTGGGTCAGCCGTGGCCATGCTGCGAATCTTTTATTCTACTGTAGACGTACCCAGTAAGGTTATATGTCCTGCCCTCTCTCATTAGGTCCTTATCTGGCCTCCATTGCTGTAGTACCTGAGTACCTCACGATCCTTAATGTATTTATCCTCTCACCACCCCCATGAAGTAGGGAAATGCTGTTAGCCCCATTGTACAGATGGGGAACTGAGAGATGAAAAGCCAAGGTTTTCAAAAGTATTTATGTGACTAAAGATGCAGACAGGTGCCGAGTGGGAGTTAGGCACCTAATCTTCTTAGGCTCTTTTGAAAATCCCACGAGACACCTATCAGCATCTTTAGGCACCTAAATACCTTTGAATATCTGGTTCTTAGTGACTTGGCCAAGGTCACACAGGAACTCCATGCCAAAGCAGGGAATTGAATTTGAGTTTCCTGGGTGAATACCCTAACCACTGGATTATTGTCCCTCTGCTAGTCAGTTGACAGGGCGGGGAACGGACGCTAGATTTCCCGCCTCCCAGGCAGGATTGTACACCCTTATAAGTAAAGAATGGGGCATGCTGCTGCCTTCCAAAGAACTAGTGCGACATTTGGAGCCACCACTGCAGAAGGCTGGATTACAACACGCTCAGCTTCACACCCCAGGACTTGCATACAAGCTCCCCACCCCGATTGCTGCTGCTGTCAGATGTACTCCTCTCTGCAGTCCTAGATGCTTACCTCTCCCCCACCCAATTTCATCATCCAGGCCAATTACAAGCTTCTCCTGGGAGACCCGTCTCACTCCAGTTTGTGGCACAGGGTTTGAACTTCCCTGCAGCGTGGCCCCAGATCCCTATTTTGAAACAGGCACAGGGAGGGAGAGGCCACTGACCTGAGGGCCAGTCAAGATGGCAGCAGCCACAGCCTCTGTTCAGTTCCAAACGTGAACAGGGCGATTGTCAAGTGCAGGCAGGTGCCCTGCCGTGCCAGTGGGATGCGAGGAAAAGGCTTTGAGTCAGTCACTTGTCTGCCAAGCACATGGGGAATTAGAACATCATGTCAGGACCATGCAGACTCCTGTCTGTATCCTCAGGGTGGGACAGGGCTGGAGAACAAAGGCTCCTGTGTTTTCTCAGGTGGCAAGAGGGACTGACAGCACAGGTAACCTTTTGGATCAGTATAAAGAGAACCTTTGAGGAGAGTTGGACCCTTACTAATAACAGTCCCAAGGTAAAATGGTGGCGCTCCAGGGTGATGACTATGGTCAGTCTTACCAACTACACCTTTGCCTGGGGGAATCTTTCCATGTTCCATGGCTAGGGAGATACTTGGAGTTGTGGGTGGTGGAGGACCGAGATGCTTTTGGTCTAGGAGTAGATAAAAGGGCATCTCCAAAAGTAAGCCCAACAGAGGGCACAGAAGGCCCTGGCATTTCAGAAGGTGATGGGAGAAGCTAGGGGGGGCTGGGTGGCAACACGAGGGGGTGAGTTTCTAGGCTTTTCACCTCACCCACATACTCCGACGGCAGAAAAGAGACAGCTCTTGGATTGAATGGGCAACGAAGACTGAACTTCACTCCAGAGGAGGCCTCTCCAGAAATGGCACATTGGCAGCGGAGCTTGCCCCGTTGTTGCACACGCTGGACCTATAGGATCAGAGGAGAGTTCATTCTCTGCAGCCCATACAGTCCATGGTCTCTCTGGTGAGACTACCAAGAAAGGGACCGTGCAGTGGTGGCACATCTGCCTTTTGGGAACTCAACTTGGACCTACCAAATGTTCATGTGAGCTGCCAAAGTTCCTTTAGAACTTTTAGTTGCTACTGACCTGGGCTGAGGAACCTGGCAGTGAAATGCTGCATGTTGCACATCCTCCCCCTGTCACTCCCCCTGAGCCATCCACTCCCCGGATGCTGCTCCTTTCCCAATTTAAAAGCCACAAGCGTCCAGGACAATACCGAAGCGTTCCTAGCTAAGTGCCTTGCCTATTGCATAAGAGGCTCTCAGGCACTGTGGCTTCCATTTCATGTCTGCCTGTTTGGATTCCTGCTTGCAGAATGACTAACTTTAAGGACTAAAAAAAAAAAAATGTTTTGATTACACTGCCTTTTTGCCAACTGGGAGCATTAGTCACAGCATTTTTTTGTGTGGAGATACCAGGCTTAAAGCTCAGCAGAGCTCCTTTCTTTCTCCCCCTCCTCCTCCTTTCTGACTTATTAGCAGGATCCCAAGCATGATGAAGAATGGAGAGAGAGAGAATGTGCATGAACATCTTCAGGGAAAATTACTCTGCATTATATTTCTTCCCTCCCATCCCACCCCACCCCACCCCACCCCACCCGAGAGAGGAAACCACCAAAGGCTTTTTAAAGATTTGGGGTCGGTCTTTGGACACATGGGGCCAGATCCTCAGCTGGTATAAATCGACACAGTTCAGGGGGCTTTGACAGAGTTATGCCAATATGCACCAGCTGAGGATCTGGCCCACAGTTTGGCACCTATTCATCTCTCTGTATAAAGCGAGGGCGGGGGAAGGGTTCTGGATTAGCAACTGTCTGGTGATGGGCAGAAGAGGGGTGCCTTGCTTGGCTTGCTGCTCCCTTGGCATGCCTCTCCCCTGCCCCAGGAGGCCCCACCTTGAAAGGGAGACAGGGGTATTCAGTCTCCACTGTCCATTCCATCTTTGTGGAAACCACCAACAAAAGGAGGCAATTCGCACTAGTTGCAGGGGTGATTTTGGTGAGGCCTGCCCCCTGGAACTAGACTGCCATGATTATTGTGTGTCTTATGGTCGCACCTATGGGCCCCATCATGCCAGGTGTTGTACACCCACAACGTGTGAGAGAGTCCGTGCCCTGAAGCTCACACTCTGGGTGGGGAGTATTATTATCCCCACTTTACAGATGGGAAGCTGAGAGAGCCTAAGCATCAAACCCAAGGCCATATAGTCAGTGGCAGAGATAGGAATTGAATGTAGATCTCCATAGTCCCAGTCCAGTGCCTTAATCACAAGACCATCTTTCCTCTCTAAACTTGAGACCCACTGCACTCATTTCCCAGGGGCCACCAAACAGCAGTCAGATGGTAACAGCTTTGAGCAGCATCAGCCTATGTTGGAGTTGAACTAGCAACGTAGAGCTCTGTATTCTCTTATTCGTTTCTGGAGCTGTCCAGTTCCCCCATACGTCAGCAGTAGCCTCTACAAAACATGTTGATGACTTAGCACTTAGGAGCTGGCT